TGAATATCGTTTATTATTTGGTCATGTTATTATAAATTGAAATGCATTTTTGGAGAGCGAACACTATTTGAAAATGCTAACGCTATCCAGAAGACGAGTCCATAAGAGAATATTTACTGTACCAGGTTAAAACTCGTTATTCTCAAAACGTCCAATGAGATTTACTTACTTTTCAACAGTCTCATGATAACCAAGCTCAGTTTGGATACAGTGGTACCGACGTGTTTTTCCTTGCCATTTCATTATCTTGAGTAATTAATAAAAATTTAATGGAGATAAACTTTTCAATACACTGACCAATCAGTTCTGTCAAAATACGGATATAAACTTTTTTGGTAAGAAAGTCATAGACGGTTTTATTTTCATTATAGTCAGGCTATTGCTCGAATAATATTGGTGAAACTTGAACGCACAATAGTGTGTATTTCATCTTCGGATAATATTTTCTCTTTCCTACTCGACAATCTGATACTGAACGGAATAAAAATAAAATTCAGGTTGTAAGAAAGTGAAATAGAAAAAATCTTGCTCATACAAAAATTCTATTTTCCATTTGATTAACACGAGGAAATTTGTTGGTTTTCAACTAAAATTTTTGGTGTTATTATTTTTCAAAAATTTGTAAAATTGTGGAGTGGTATGACCCATAGTTTACAAATCATGGAATTCGATAATTTTTAACGAAAAATGGTATTTGTTTCCTACAAACTTTTAATTTATTGATTTTATATAGAACATCAACTAACAACAGATTATTTTCGTCTTAACTTTATATATAGTTTTTATTTTGTGTTTTTGATTTCTTGGTACCATTTCTTGGTATAACGTAGAGCAAAAACAATATTTATTAGGAGGAATACATTTTCTATGCATTTTTATTTCTAGTCAGATGCCAATAAACATTAAAGTCAAATTTCCGTTGTAGAGTTCTATTAATTGAACTCCTCGTTCAACAGTATCATTAACGATATGTATCCCTAAATATAATTCTCATTAGATTTCAATGGGTAAAATATTTTGTAGATCAGAAATATGTTCTCAGATGACAGTGACTTTGTAAGACAGCAGAAATTCTTGATGGTCGGGCAACCTTTTCAGGTATAAACAAATCGAAATTTCTAATGAAATTGGAAATAAACTGTACAGGTCGACACAAATTCTTGCAGGTTGATACTCCTAGAGAAGAAAACTGACCAAATTAATCATTTTCAACAAAAACATTTTCACCTGTTGAGTATAAAAAAAACAACGTTCTCATGAAATTGAAAATAACCCTAGCAGGTCGGCAGAAATTATTGCATGTCGGGCCTCTTATAATAAAGGAACTAGCTTTTTCCCGCGACTTCGCTGGCGTTAAGAAGTATTATTATTAATTATGTATAGTTTTTGCGGCTTTACTTTTGTTTAGCGTGTGTAAAAAATTAGGGTCTACAAGTCTTATTTGTACACAATATTCTTAACTAATCTGTCATTAGGCGTTAAAACTATCAAGCTATTTGGCGAACTTACTCGTGAGCAAGCAACATAAAACTGTCCATGAGAGAAGCAATGCTCTCTCAAGTCAATACCCGCAAATTTGAGAGTTTGCCCCTGAGACTTGTTTATATTCATGGCAAAGCAGACTTTTAGGGGACACTGTTCTCGTTTAAATTCGAACGGGATATCATTAGGTATTAATGGGATTCGTGGTATAAATACAGTTTCCCCTTTCGCACACCCAGTTAATATAGTGGCTTCCACTATATTGCGATGTAACGCTTTCACTTGCAGTCTCGTACCGTTACAAAGTTTTGGTGGTTTTAAATTTCGAATCAACATAATTGGAGTACCTACCCACACGCAGAATAAGCTTATGACAAGGCAAACCTGGCGGTTTCAATTAATTTAAAAATTCTACAGGGCAATTAGTAGCGTCATCTCTATTAACCACAGTATATATCAATCGAAGTATAGACCTTTTCTTCGCCCTCAAACGATATGAGCATGATACCGTTGATACCTGCTGCTTGATCGTTCTTTGCAGTAAGTATGGCACGCTCACATAACCATTCAATAGGCTTGTCATGTATATGAATAATGTCTGGATAAACTTTAGACAGCAATTCTTGAACCGTAGTAACAACTGTGCACAGTATTTCCGGGATGATTACCATTTCATCAAACGATGGAAAATCACCATTACCGATTTTAAGAAGGAGATCTGAAAATCTACCAGCAGACTCATTTCCGCCCAAATGTGCTCTCATATTTTCAGAGAGCTTAAGAATAATAACCTGGGGCCACAAATTAGATTTCTCAATGCACGACTTTACTTCGTCAGCTCTGGTTCCTTTTGGCACCACTGGTAGAGTCTGCCGAAAGTCTCCGGCCAGCAAATTATATTTCTTAATGCACGACTTTACTTCGTCAGCTCTAGTTCTATTTGGCACCACTGGTAGATTCTGTCGAAAGTCTCCGGCCAGCAAAACTGTTACGCCACCCATTAATTTTCTATCACCACTTATAACCCTTAGTGATCTGTTTAGGTATAGTATAGATACGGCGGCCAGTCATCCTCGGATATATGTAACTCAGTGACAACACAACGATAGCGCGTTTTAAAATATTACTAACGCCATCTATTGTCAACATTTAGAACTAAACATTATTTTGTTTGTTTTAATTTATTCGTTCCACTAGGTACTGGTAGGTTCAAACTAATACATTTACATCCTCCATCATCCCTTATTTTATCCCCTTAGGGGTGGAATTTATCAAAATCCTTTCTTAGGGGATGCCTACAACATAGTAGCTTTATGCATGCAAAGTCTCAGCCCGATCGGTTTAAAATTGACAAAGTTTCACACAAACTTTCATCCCTTTGAGGGTAGAATTGATGAAAATCCTTTCTTAGCGGATGCCTACGTCATAACATCTACCTGCATGCCAAATTTCAGTCCGATCTGTCCAGTGGTTTGAGCTGTTCGTTGATAGATCACTATGTCAGTCAGTCAGTCATCTTTGAGTTATATATACTTATTTAGAGATATTGACTGGATTGATCATATTCGACAAAAAAACACCCTTCGAGCACAAATAAATTCAAATATCACATAAGGTTTCTCAACATGGTTTTAGGAAAAATAAATCAACGGAATCAGCCACACACCATTCACTTAATTATGTTTACACTTCCTTAGATAAAGGAAAATATGTTGTGTCTCTTATGTTCGAGTTCTCAAAAGTTTTTGACTGCCTAAACATAAATTTCATATTACAAAAACTTATCTGGATATAAGACGTATCTTGTTAAAAAATGGTTTCTTTCCCACAAAAGTATTCTCATCAAAGTAGCACAACAATTATCGAATGAATACACTACTTTTATCTGTTTTCCCCAAGGACCTGTCTTTGGACCCTCAATTTTTATCCTTTTTGTAAACGATATTCCCAATTATATTACCGTTGGACAAGTAACAATGTTTGCCGATGACACAACACTTAGTCTGTGGAGAAACCTTTGAAGAATTGCACAGTAATATAGAAAAAGGTCTCAATGAAATGAAACAATGATGCCAAAAAAATCTACTAACGTGTCTTACCTTTTAACGTGTGATTCCTAACGTGTTAGGAATCATAAGTTAGCTCGCACAAGTTTCGAATTCTGAGGGTTGTCGTTCGTAGGGGTGCGACAGTTGGTTAACGGAAAAAACAGATTTTTCAAATACTAATAAGACAACCAGCATAAATTTCCATATGAAAAAGACAGTTACAAAAACCTTCTATAAAAATCCAATATTTAGTGACAGCATCAAGTTACTCGGGACATCGCTTAAACTCAGACATTAGTTTCTACTCCCACATAGACTTTGTAAACAACTCAATAAAGCATACTATGTAATTCTTCAGATGAAACCAATTTTGGACCAAAAGAAATTGTTGAATTTATACTATGGGTTTGCATATAGCCATATATCAAATAAAATCTGTGTTTAAAATCTGTTTTAACGTTAACCAGCTGTCGCACCCTTACGAACGACAAGCCTCAGACTAAGGATTAACGAGGTGTTACCTTTTTACGTGTGATTCCTAACACGGGTTGGATGATAGCAAGTGAAAATCGATCGTTCAGACTGGGGCTTGAACCACCGACCAACACAGCAGTCAATTCGAGTGAGTGAACAAAGCACCCACGTCAAACCGCCTGGCTACCGACCGACCAACATGGGGACTGGCTACTGAATGTAAAAGTTTTCGCTTTTCAATAAAGAATAATTAGACTATTATTTAATTTGGAATACAGGGAGTCATGTAGGACTATCTTCAAACAACACTCTATTCTGCCCTTCCGTTCTATTTTCATTTTAAAATGTGTAATTTTTTTGAAAAGCAATATTTCTGACTTCAACGTGTTAGGAAGTCATCATCATAACTACCCATCAAGAAGTTCTATATTGAAAATACCAAAATATAAAACTGCAACATTTAAATAGTCTACATTTAATAATTGCATATTTCTTTATAACAACTTGCCAAAATATATGAAGGATATCAATAGTTGTAACAGCTTTAAAAATGTTACAAAAATACCTCATGGAAAGTAGCTTCTATTCAATAGAGGAATTTCTGGCATTGCAATCCAAACACTGAATGTTCATCGAGTAAGTTTTTTAATGTGTTAATATGTTAATATACAAGATAGTTTTCTTTTTTACCTATATTCTTAAATTCCTTAATTTTTACCTATGTAACGTAAAATTTTTGAGGTCAGTTTATTTCTTGTATATACTAAAGATAAATAAATGAATCTGTTATATAAAATTATAAATTATACACTGGAGTTGGCTACTGTACATCCCATCCGCTATCTGAATTTCAAAGTTGTAGTGTAGTTGACCTTATCCGTTTGTGAAGACGAACCAAACATAACTAGAATCCTCCTTCATACTCGGAAATATTGATCAACAAAAAGTATTATAACAAGAATCAAGTTTAAAATAAACGGTAATCATTGACGAAACTATATATAAAAGACTTTTATTTACAACATTAGAAAAATACACTTTTCTACGGCCATTCTAGCTCAACTTTAATGACATCCAAAGCGACTACATCTACTTGGTTTCCAATTAAATGAGTCAAACTAGGTTGGGTCCTGTGAAAGTCGCTATGGACAAATTCCTTTACATAAGTACCCGCCTGTGTAACAAGTTCCAAATAGAAGAGATCTGAGTTTCCTAAAACAAAACATGTACAGGAATTAGAAAGGTTCATAGGATGGAAATTTTAATTTTACTCAATATTACAATGGGAAGATTAAAAATTTTAGATTGTAGAATAACTATATATCAAGTGCTGCCTGGCTAACTGTGGAAATATTGACCCATTCATGTCATTGAGGGCTCAAATCAATGTTCCTTTAGCATTGCAAGATTGCATATACTTCAGCCTGGAAGACTGATATGTACTGACCGAGTAGGAAAATGAAATGAACTCGCAGAGTTATCCAATCTGAATTGAGACACCATTGCTTTCGTCATTATTACGAGAAGTAAAGGAGATTCAAGAGTGTCTCCAATGCAGCTGATGGAGTGGTTTTCATTGCTCCCGCTATTCCTAAATATGCAAGTCTTTGCACCCTGCTTGTTAGTAGTGGTTGTTTGCTACATCTTTGGCCACCAGACCAAGATGCATATGTTTTCATGGGTTTAACCAATATTTAATTTCTGGTGTCATCTCCCATGTCTTTCAGTAGGTGCATTTGGCCAGCATCAGTGCTACCTCAGCCCAATCACAAGTAAAAAAAAATCTAAGATATATCCTATCACTTCAGAATAAATTGCCAAATTTGATTAGGGATTGTTGATCTGATAAAATATTTCAGAATAGAACAAAAATATTTTTGGCTTTCTACTAATCCATTTTGATAAAAAAATGTGGGAATCTTATAAAGAAAGAAAGGAAGGATTGAATATATGTATATTGAAGTACCAAAATGGTTAATGAAGATTATTATTATTAATATAGTTACCTGGAACTGATGCAGCTGTCATCGAATATATAAGTTTTTTTCTGGTAGCTAATGTTCTTCTGTGCAAAACTCTCAAAGGGGTCTTCTGGTCGATTTCAAGAACTTCTTGGCCAAACTTATTGATTGTTTTAATAGCACATTCCATATCTGGAACTGTTGTTTTACAAAGAACAGAATAATGTTTCTTTTTGAATTCTTCGCCATCTTTAACTTTTTTAACTGCAAGGCGACTCACTGTTTGTAATTTCAACACAGCTGCAACCTCAGATTTCAGAATGTCAGCTTCTATCTCGCGAAAGCGTTCAAACGATATATCATCAGTTAATGGATTCACCACTTGGATGTAAAAAGGTCTACCATTACCTAACATTCTTGTGTCAGCATCTTCTCGGCCACTGGCAGAAAATGTCATTTTGTTTTTGTCGAACCTGAAAATTTTTAGCTCATATAAATTATCTCTTTTGAATGTTAATGAAAGTTTTCAATATCAGATAAATTTTGACAGATACTTCCATGTTCTGATTTAAAAAATGATAGTTGCAGTTTGAACCCCCTCCATTGAGGCTGAAGCAATTGAAACACATTACATAGTTGGTGGGTCAACTTTTCTCTCGCATGGGAAGAGGGTCATATAAATATGCATTATAGGTTTATGATGAAGTAAGATGAATAGTCAACTTATATTTCTAAACATTTAGTATTTGTTATAGATGTATACATACAAAAAACAACTGCTTAAATTTTTATCAGAAATACCAATTTCAAACATTCTTCCTTCAATCTGGAAGAAGTTCAACCTAAGAGGAAATTTATTGTAGTGAATCGAAATAGTAGACAGAATGACTTGACTGAATGACTGAATCAGTGAACATGAAAGAGTAGACAGAATAATAATAATTTATTCGTCTTAAGAATCAGATGAATGATATCAGACATATCACAGACAAAAAAAATGAAAATACAGACAGTACATAAAGGCAGGAAGAACCTATATGATTTCTCATAAGTTGAGTATATTGTTGTAATGGAAACTGTTGATTGGCAATACATTTCATTTACTAGAAGATAGTATCAATAGTAACAAAATTAAACTTTGGAAAATGTATTGCTTGACGTTTCTAATTTGTTAGGGAGAAATAATTCCATTATAAGTAGCACAATTGAATGATTCTTGAAGTCAATATTTTAAATTGAAAAGGGTATATTTTTAGGAGAGAATAATTCCCACATTTTTCTACAAAAAAAGTGGGAATCTTCCAAAGAAAGGAAGGAAGCAATCAATTTAAAAAAATTAACTCTATATGAAGATGTATAGATCAAGCATTGACTGGAAAAACCCCTCTCGAAACAGCTGCTTTCATATAAACATTAAATTACACTTAAGAAAAATACTTTTAGGACACTGAATTATATAAAAATACTTTTTTCTATTCAGTTTGTCTTTCAAATATTCGTTGTGGAATTGAATCAGGTACCATTTACAGTGTTGCTACACAATATAGAAAATGAAAGAGGTAAAATTTCACTAATATGGAACAATGTCATCCTCACTGGTGGACATTCGATGTTTCGGCATATATCACTCAATTCATTCATAGAATTATGACTTTATGCCACGAATGAGTTTAATCTGCTCATGTCATCGATGACAGTACATAATGACATTGGTTATATGTTTAAAATATGTTTGTTTCGTTAACCAGCTATCGCACCCCTACGAACGACAACTCTCAGAAAGATAACGACTAACGAGGTCTTACCATTTAACGTGTGATTCCTAACACGGGTTGGATGATAGCAAGTGAAAATCGAGCGTTCAGCCTGGGGCTTGAACCATCGACTCACACATCGGTCGACTGACTGAGTGAACAAAGCACCCACGTCGAACCGCCCGACTACCGACCGACCGATTCACTTGGAATATTCTTTAAATTTGATTTAAGTGAAATTTAATTTGAATCGATATTGAAGGTCATTTAAATTTAATTTAAACAACACTGGGATTCAATCAAATAAGCAAATGAATATCATTACGTACTGTTATCGATGACAAGAGTAGAATTTACTCATTCATGACATAAAATCGTAATTTCATGAATAAATTGAGTGCTTCATCTTATAATATTATCCAGATTTGGTGCTGAAGAGACGATAAGGCAAGTGTCTTATGGCGAAACATCGGCTATCCACAAGTGAGGAAGAGAGTGTTCCATGTAAGTGAAATTTTCCCATTTTTATTTACTTTATTGTGCAGCAATCCTGTGAATGATATTTGATTCAATTCCTTAAAGAATATTTGGAATAAAAACTCAATAGAGAAAAGTGTTTTTTGTATGATTCAGTGTTCATATAAAAATACTTGTTTCGAAAAGGTTTTTCGTCTAGTTTATGTCTGAAAGTTACTTCTTTTCATGATCTACACATCTTCATATACAGTGTGTCTCATTTCTCATGGAAACACCCCCGTATCTTCCGTAATATTATAGGTAGAATGATGAAACTCTCAGGACTGATGGAAATACTCAAAATGCACCTACCACCTGAATAAGGTTGGCCAAAGTGATATACACTGTACGCCACTCGCGGTGGAACACCCTATTTTTACGGTAAAACATATTAGGGGGCAAAATATGCTCAAAATTCCTTCAGATTCGTGATCAGGACTACCAACTTACTACGATTACACTTTTTTCCTGAAAAAATTTCAGTCCTGAAAAATCCGAAATTGTCTCACTTTTTATGGAAACACCCCCGTATCTTCCGTAATATTCGAGGTGATACGATGAAACTCTCGGGACTGTTGGAAATGCTCAAAATGCACCTACCACCTGAATGGGGTTGGCCAAAGTGATATACACTGTCCGCCACTCGCGATGGAACACCCTATTTTTACGGTAAAACATATTAGAGGGCAAAATAGGCTCAAAATTCCTTCAGATTCGTGATCAAGTCTACCAACTTACTACGAATACACTTTTTTCCTGAAAAAATTTCAGTCCTGAAAAATCCGAATTTGTCTCACTTCGTATGGAAACATCCCCGTATCTTCCGTTATATTTGAGGTGGATCGATGAAACTTTCAGGACTGATGGAAATGCTCAAAATGCACTTACCACCTGAATGGGGTTGGCCAAAGTGATATACTCTGTCCGCCACTCAATTCTGAGCTTTGGCTGTGGACACTTTCAATCAGCATATCAAGAACTACAACATATCAAAATTTCGGCAAAATTCAAGGCAAGCCATTTCTCATGAGAAATGTGCTGGGTCCTTTATCAAAATATTGAGGAAACATTTTACCATCCGAAACAAAATTAATCTTCATACTCATTGCAACACCGAAACAATTGTTAATTTTTAAAGAAAAAATCGCACTCGGTGAACAGGTAGAATTTAGATTATTTTACCTACTTGCTGAATTGTTGTCTGAAATCATTTGAAGGGATTGAATTACATCAGTTTCATTGAATCATGCGGTGCTCTGAAATCACCATGGTTATTGATATTTAATGTCAACCTGACAATATTGTTGAAAGATCTTGTTGTATTAACCCTCAGACCAGTTTTCATTGCATTTGTTGTTTCTAGTATTGTTGTTCTTTGAATCATCGTTGTTCCTGTTGTTTCTGCCGTGTTTTTGTTCCCATGTTTATTGTTCCTGTATTTGTGTTGGATATTGTTCCTGTGTACAAGTTGTTTTCTGTTCGTGAGTTCCTGTTCATATTTTAATATTTCTGAAGTTCCCATTTTAACTGATATCAGCTCATTTTGATTGACAAAGTTCAACATGGCACGTCTTTCACTTCAAGCAAAAATTGAAATTGTTTTAATTGTTGGTGAAGGAGTGAGGTCTTATCGTGAAGCGGCCGCTGAATTTAATAGAAGACACCCGCTATAGGTAGCTGTACACCCTGGAACTGTACAAAAAATATATAATCTATTCGTGAGCACTGACCAAGTAACAAAGGACAGAAAAATTGTAAAACATCATATTGATGATGATACGATATTGGCAGCTCATCAAGCTGATCCTAGAATTAGTTTGAGAAACTTATTGCTTCAACTCATTATGAGCCGCAGTAAAATATGGAGGTGTTTAAAGAGGCATAAAATGCATGCGTTCAAACACAAATTTTTACATACTTTGCACGAAGGAGATGAAATCCGCCGTATGGAGTATTGTTTATGGATGCAGGAAAATTATCTCAATGACAGGAATTTTTTAAAGTATATCTTATACAGTGATGAGGCTACCTTTACCACGAATGGTGTTGTATCTTCCCAGAACATGAGGTTTCGGGCTGAACAAAATCGAAATTGGGTGGTGAATTGTAGAGACCAAATATCTCAGAAAGTTAATGTGTGGTGTGGTATCCTGAACGAAAATATCGGGCCATTTTTTTCGATCAAAATTTAAACGGACGACTATTCGTTGATTTTCTCGAAAATGCACTTTCCGAGGTGTTGGAAGAACTACCTTTAGATGTGAGACACAGCATGATTTTTCAGTTAGATTCATCGCGAGTGGCGGACAGTGTATATCACTTTGGCCAAACCCATTCAGGTGGTAGGCCCATTTTGAGCATTTCCATCAGACCAGAGAGTTTCATCGTTCTACCTCGAATATTACGGAAGATACGGGGGTGTTTCCATGAGAAGTGAGACACACTGTAGAGTTAACTTTTTGAAATTGATTGCTTCCTTTCTCTCTTTGGAAGATTCCCACTTTCAGAAGTCGCAAGATTGAATGATCCAATAAAAAATATCTCAGAATTGCAATCCAGAACAAGTGCCGAAAAATACTGTGGATGCTAGAGTTGAGTCGGTATTTGAGAAACGGTATTTTGGAGCGCGATTTTACAATACCGTCGCGTCTTTGCCTCAGTATACTGTACCGTTTCGCTGTGGCTGAATGTCATCGCATCGAATCTCTGTCGCGGTACTTTGCTTTGGGCAAGAATGGAACACGATCGCGATATATCATCCGCAAGCTAACATGGGCCTTTTTGACATAATATTATGGATTAAGATATAATTTTTTGATAAATTGGAATTGGCGGTATTCAAAGCAGTCATTATTGTTTGGTGGAGTTTGAAATGAAAAATTTTTCTAATTTCATCTGAATGATTTGTCATCAGGTGAATGAGATGCATGAAATAAAATAAATAATTCACTTCTGAAAATTTACAAAAAATTAAATACAAACACAAAGATAAAATAAATAAATGAGATTACTCCAAACAAAATAAAAATTCTACATGGAATATAAATCGAAAAGCAAATGTTGCAAAAGAAAAAAGAGCTTACAATCAGGTAAGTACACGAAATAAAACAATAAATTTTATATTATAACATAACAAAAATATCACAATCAAAAATGAATGTGTCTAATGAAATAACTAAATGAGCGGTTGGAAAATTGCCACCATCGTTCTTATTGAAAAAATTATAAACACCCTTTTAGGATCTGATTAGACCCATAAATACCCTGTCAATTTATGAGAAAATATTAGAAATCGCAGTGAAAGAGTAATTGATGAAATTTATAGCGAAATATAATATTTTGATTAAAGAACAATCTGGATTTAGGGAATCTCATTCATGTGAAACTGCACTGCAATTTCTAATCTCTCCGTGGAAAGTTGAGCTATCTAAAAAACATGTCATAGGTGTTGTCTTTCTGGGTTTCAAAAGGACATTCGAGACAGCCAACATTGAGTTACTTTTAATGAAATTAAATAAGTATGGACTAGATTATAAAGTATAAAAATGGTTCACAAATTACCTCACATATCGGACACAGCTAGTTAAATGTAATCAAGTGACATCCAGTACTTTAAATGTAATTTCAGGAGTCCCTCAAGGCTCAGTATTGGGTCCACTGCTATTCTTGCTGTACATAAATGATATTGTGATATATGTTGAAAGGTGTAAGATAAAACTGTTTGCCGACGACACGTGTTGTACTGTTCTGGGACAACTAATGAAATCTTAGAATGTTTCAATGGGGAACTATTAAATATAAATCCTGAAATCAAAGATTCAGGTGGGGATTTCGAAAACGAACTGAATGTAAAGTTGAAACTAAATCATTTCAAGGCAAGCAGCTTCATCGGACCAGAACCTGTCATTGACATCGTTTTAGGCTTTGCCAAACAAACATTGAACACCTGGATGGCAAGAAAATTCATGGAGTTCTGGCTGAATCTTCCAGGATTGGCTCACTCCAAGGCGTTTATTCACCCTTCGAAGATTGATACCAAACAGTTGTTGGACTACAGTAGGAATGAACTACGATGTCTAACAGACCTTCTTACAGATCACTGTCATTTGAATCATCACATGCAGAGACTTGGATTGTAGAGGACAGTGTGTATCGCCTCTGTTTGGAAAATGATGAAACAGCAGATCACATAATTTGTGTCTGCCCCGCTGCGGATCGAATCAGGTTTTTAGAGTTCGGCTGAGCCGAACTCTTACCATCTGACCTGAAAGACCACTCACCATAAAAAGCTGGGTTTATTTGGTCGAGTGTGAGTAGATATGAGCCACAATGAACCCTTGTGGGTTGCGATGGAGAAACGAATAGACCCACTCACTTTGGACCTAACCCAACCTAAATCATTTCAACTGATTAACTGACGTTTCGAGTCACAAATGAATAGAATAGCCCGTCAGAAACTGGTTCAAACAACACACTGATTAGATGTAATATAGATATAAGATAGATATAATATAATATAGAAGCATAGCTGTTGCTGTAAAGGTAAGCACAGACCGGCCAACAAAATGTTGGCAACATGTTGATATCGGTGTTGCCAACGTGTATCCCGTCAACTAAACTAGTTAATGGATACTTGTCAACATCGGGCGGCATGGCAAGAAATTTTTTGCCTGTTGCTTGTATCCATGTTTTCCATTTCACATGGAAAACATCGCTTAGTCCATATTGTCAACAAATAGTGTCGGTAGCTAGTCTTTTCATCACAATCTACATCTAGCACGTAGGCTAATTGTGAATATTTTTATTATTGAAAAAACTTTAGAATGTGGTTCATTGTTATTCTATTCAGCAGCAAACACGATATGGACCAGAGAGCTGCTGATAGAGCTAATTGAAATGTTTGAAGTTGCTCCCGCATTTTGGGACATTAATTGCAAAGAATACAGGGATAGAAATATCAAACACGATGAATTGTCAAAACAAATGTGGATGAAATAACCAGGAAAATGAAGTCCCTGAAACGCAATTCAGACAGAAACGCAAGAAAATTGGACATAAAAGTAAAAATGGAGCGGGTACCATTTCCGAAGATAATATAAGGTTTGGGTACAAACGGTTATAAACCATACAGTATTCGAAAAATAAGCTCCACCCCAAAAACACGAATAATCTGAATACAATATGCAAGATAAATGATACCTTACAGACTGAGATTTAAAGCTTCTATAACGCGACGGCGATACGCATAACTTTTCATAGCGCTTAGTATGGTCGTTCCTTCTCGTACAGTTTTGCTGTGGACTATTTATCGCGGTATTTTCCAGTCGCGATCGTGACTGGAATATTCCAACGAAGAAATGGTATTTCTCATCTCTAGTGCATGCATAAAATGAGCTCTTTCTGGAGCTGATTCGCTCGTCAAAAACGGACTGTCACTGGAACATTGTTGAAATTTTGTTATTGGAAATTGTTACTCATGTGGTTACGAATTGTTGCAAGACTACATTTCACTTGAAATTAACACTTTCTCCAACTCAGCTACTATAAGAAAGTAACTCCAACTGTTCTGCATTCAGTAACAGGTAACGGTTGGTCTTCCTAATATTAGGCTCCTAATGTAGGACACAAGACCGGTTATCTTTGTCGAGTGATATCAGGTTTCTCCTTGTCTTGGAATGCCGTCTTTTAGTTATATTAAGGCTGTGTATTGAGCTCAATCAGTGGCCAACAACTGAACTATTAGTTTGATATGGTCTGCTGGCCATGAAAGGCCAGTATACACTGGTCGACACTATTCAAGAATGGAAAAGAATGCTCCGTTACTCTGGTCAACGATATTCAGGAATGAAACTAAATACTCCATTACAAGGTGCATTATATTTTTTGAAACGTTTCAGACTTTTGATTATATAATATGAAATTGATTCAAATACAGTATTCACTTTGAGATATATTTTCAAATTTATTGGTTTGAGCTTTATTCAAAAGTTTCTATGACTCATATTATTCAAATGCAGGGAAATTGTGCTTATGTAAGTGATGAATTAATTGTCTCCTCCAGCGTTGAATAATTAGTTAGTTTGTAATCAGGCAAATATACAAATAATTCAGTAACATATACATAATGATACCTACACGACTTATTTTGGTCATACATAAGGGAGAGTCAAACAAATAAAAAAATCACTTTATCAATAAAAAGAAATAGTTTACAACTTACAATATATTTTGCCTATTGACTTCACTATTTGTGCGACACTGATATATCTCTTATTTCCCTTCCAACTGTTGCTAACTCGCTGTGTTATATATAGTGTTCAAATGGAAACAAAATAGAGACGTTATCAGGTACTACATTTTAATAAAAATACAGAGACCCATCAATTTTTGATTGAAGGGTGGTTGGTGGTCATCTTTTTCAGTATTTGTAACTCCCTCAATTTTACCCCTCAGCGAAAGTAACAATTATGCCAAAATGTTTTAATGGTGTTGGGGGTCGACTAGGACGTTTTGAATTTTTTGAAACGTCCTTTGGAATTATCTTGAAGGTAGTCTACAAACTATGAAATTATGCCTAATAGTTTATAATCCTGTACAAATTTTACTTTTTAGGCTTCAGCAGTTCAGCAGATTTGTCGCCCTCGAGGGCGACAAATCTGCCGAAAAAGGAGGCTATTCAATGCTGCGTTTTTCCAATGCATTGCTGTGAAAATGAAAGTCTAAACACAGATGAACAATGAAGGCATATCGAGGTGGTTCACTGACCTATTAGGAGATCAAATAGCCACCGGAATTATACACGACTCCGAGTTGGGAGCAGACTGACCGTCAAAATGAAGTCACTTGATTTGTGGAAATATCTAAATAGATAGGTCTAAAGAATTCAATCCGCTTCTTTTGATGATTTGTGCCAACGAATTACTTTCAAAATGCTTCAAAATTTGCGAGAACAATTTGAAGTCGATCTTTATTATTATTTGGGCACGGGCGTTGATTAGTTTACATTGAATCAATATTACTGGAGTTTTTTTCCAACACCAAATCGTTATTTTTACACCTCGACACGTGTTTCGATCACCAAGGAAGTTTTATCTTCCTCTTGAAGATGATCACTTGGTGATCGAAACACGTGTCGAGGTGTAAAAATAACGATTTGGTGTTGGGAAAAAACTCCAGTAATATTCATTACTACACCAAAGGTTCCAAACAGTATATCACAAGTACATTGAATCAGCCTAAAATTTTACATTTCAGAATATATTTTTACAAAAATGTTTGGTAAAATTTTGAAATTCCACTACTGTATTCAAAAATCGATTGTCACCGCAATCTTGATAACAGCTGTTTCATTTGGCTATCCTATATAAAAGATATTAGAACTCATAAGATATTTTTATTTTGTTGAAGTATCCTTTATCTATGAACCCAACAAGTCCTTTATCATTATGTACATATTGTGAAATGATCCAACTCTCACTTGACAGAGTTACAAATACAGAAAACGAGTGTCCCCCTGAAATATTTACATACTTCTTGATAATGGCCGTTTTGATTCTGTAATGTCTAATGTTTTTTCATAGTAATGAAATATTTCAAATATATCAATGAGTGAATGAATCAATTGCCTTATGTGATTATATAAAATTTTGCTTACCCTAAAACTTTTTCAATACTGTCAAATATTATATCCATTAGACAGTATTTAGTCATTGGTTTATTGTTTATGATCCATGGTGATTGTCCCATGTCCCTCGAAAATTTTAAATATCTACCTCCTAGAAACAAAGGTTCAGAGCTAAATGTGAAATTTGCAAATGTCAACTTGTTCGGTATTTCTGGAGGTACAGGATAATGAGATTTGAATGCTTCGTCTGTACATTTACTCAAGACATCACCAATAGAAGTTTTGCTAATATTTTTTGATGATTCTAATTTCTGTAGTCCTTCCATTTCCTGAAAATTATTGGAAAATGTTCGAATATGAAATAAAAAAGCACAAAAATAAGTTTACCTTTTCGTCATCTTCATATTGGATATGAATATTAACTAGAAAGTTGGAGGAAGGATTATATTTTCTGGACATTTTGATACCAAACAAGTCACTAGATACTGCTTTGAAAATTCGTTTAACATTTTCCAAATCTGCAATATTAAAATAAATCCTCATTTTACCACAGAAACTATTTCAATAATATATTCTGGATATTCATTAAAAAAATATTTTGATGTCTTGTGAACAATGAACTCCATATAAAATCCTGTTTACATTTTATTATGTGAAGTTATTTTGTATCCCAAAAAGTTTTTATTTGTGAATGTTATTTCAATAAATTTATTATCTATTACAGTATCGATTTTAATGTTCTTATGGAAGCACCCCTTTATTCTTAATATTCGAAAAAAAAATTGTAATTCACATATGCAGCAGAATTTGAAGCAGCTTTCATCAAATTCAAACAAGAAATTGCCAGTGATCAAGTTCTTATGTCTTTCAATCCATCCTTACCAGTGCAACTTGCATGCGCTGCAAGTCCTAATGGTGTTGCTGGAATATTGTCACACGTTGTGGATGGTAATGAACGGCCAATCGCATTCGCTTCAAAGTCCTTGACTTCTACAGAACAAGGTTATTCACAACTTGATAGAGAAAGAAGCCTTGGCCATTAATTTTTTCTGTGGATCGATTTTATCAATATTTGTTTGCACACCAATTCATACTCATTACGGATAATCAACTGCTTGTCATCAGAACGCAAAGATTCCCAAGACGACTTCAGCCCGACTTCAAAAATACACGCTACATTTTTGTCTGGATTCAATTACACATTATCCTTTAGGAAAGCAAAATATAATTCAAATATAGATTACCTTTCAAGGGCGCCAGTTTCAGTAGAATTTCAAATGGATTCAGTAATCAATAACGAAGTTCATCATTTGTGTAATTCAAGCATTTCATAAATAACTACATCAGAACTGTCTTATGAAACGCTGAAAAAGGTAACATTTAAGGACAAAACACTATCAGCACTTTTGAATGATCTCAAACAGGACTCAAATTGCAAAGCAGAATTCACTGTAGACTGTGATGTGTTATTCAAAGGTTAGCGTGTTGTTATACCTACATCTTTATAAGCAGCAGTTTTGAAAGAGCTTCATCATACTCACATTGGGATGACTAAAATGAAACAATTAGCCAGACGTTACATTTACTGGAAATCTATTGATAAAGACATTGATAGCATGGTAAGAAGTTGCCCATCCTGTGCATCTGCTCAGCCAAACCCTTCAAGAACACCATTGCACCCTTGGATGGTACCAGAAAATAATTGGCAGCGAACACATATCAATGCAGGGCAGTTTCAGAATCATCATTTTCTTGTTGTTATCGATGCAAAATCCGAATGGGCTGAGATTGTTCCGTGTACATCAGCTCCAACTTCTTCATCTTCAAAAGAGATACTCCAAGATATATTTGCTCGTAATGGATTTCCCGATGTTATGGTTTCCGATAGTGCAACTATATTCACCAGTGGAAATTTCAAAAAGTTTTGTCTTTTTCTATGCGACAGAAAGTTCGTGAGATACTTTTTCGGTATGGAGCAACACCACTGTCTAATGGGAAGACACCATCAGAGCTATTTCTTAATCAACAGATTCGTATCACGCTGGATGCTTTGAAACTCGTTCATCATGAAAAATCAGCACTTACAAATAAAAAGGCACGACAATTCAGCGTGGGAGAAAGATTTCAAACAAGGTATTACACAAATAATAAACAGTTATGGAAGAACAGGAGAAATTATCAACAGATTTGGGCTTCTTCACTATTAAGTGAAACTCGATGATGGATGCATTTTGAAGAGACATATTGATCAGATAAGATCGACCAACTTGCCCAAAAGTAAATCCGTCTTTTTCCCAGCTGAAGTAGAAGTTTCTTATGAAGGTCAATGAAACAGCCTAATATAACTGATTTGGTGACGATTCCAGTGCAAGATGAACAGACCAATGAAACCGATAATATTCAAAATGAGGTGTTTGAACCAGATCAAATTGAAAAACCTAATGATCAAATACCCCATCCACCAACCAACATAACAGAGTTGAGAAGATCAGGCCGCCCTGTTAAACTTCCATCGCGCCTCAATGATTATATAGTTGAAAGAAAGTAATTTAATAAGCGTGGGAGATTGTGGTGTATTACATATATTTATATATTTGGGACACTCGTTATATCATTAGTCTAAAAAGTTATCAAGTTGTAAACGATATGTCAATTGAAAAGATCACAAAGAGAACGTCACATACTCATTTATAAAGTGTTACTAATATGTAAATTAGATCAAATACCACTCATTCACAACACACTGGATATTATTTTGAATAATTCATTCTTATTTTAGCTTCAATTATCTTTGTTTGTTATTTTTATTTGTTTGTCATTTGTTTTAAAATCATATATTCCAAATTGGCTATTAAAACAAACAGTTTTGTTCTGATATAGAAAATTACAATTTACCCACCGTTTTGATGTGTTTACAAAGATTGGGGTACCTCCACAAAAAAAGGCACTCAAGAGTTTGGCTTCCAGACCCAAGTTTCTCATAGTGGAAGAAAAAAATTGTCTTGGAAATAACTTTCCACATTGATAAAAATCAACTGTGATTTAATTCAATCCAGTTCCATTTAATCCGAGTCTGGGAGCTTCAAAAACATGAATAATTTGAGACATATCTACACTGATGAATCATTTTAGATTATAGAGAATGATACTGACCATACAGATTTGTGTAGATACTAGGAAACTTCTCTTTCAGGTATAAAAACATACTATGGTCTCTAAGGAACATTGATTTTGGTAAAGATATGATCAGCTGATAATCATTGTATTTGAATTTATCAATATCTTCTGAAGTCATGTTGGCCAGGAAATTTTCAATACTTCGATTTTCCAGAATATCTAGGCATACTCTACATGGGTTAGTCTTCACCCTTTTAACATTTGGTATGAGATCCTCATGACTGTTTTCCTCAAGATTCTGAAACATAAAATTAATGTCGAAGGGATGTACCTAATATGATGTTTATACCTTTATGAAGTCTTCAGATCCTAAAAAGGTGTCTTGAATATTATTACTTGATGAACATTTGATTCCCAGGAATCGTACAATACACCTGGAACAACAACCTAATTCCTTGAGGCATTTCACTATATCTTTTTTATTGTCCTCTGTGAGCGACATCATTGTAATATAAATGTAAATTTTAAACTTGCATGTACATAAACAAACAGTATCCACTCATGTAGACAAATGTCAAAGTCAAATGTCCACGATTGATGTCAACAGGCAGTGTTGTTCTCGGGGTGCACGAACGATTCGCAGTACTACGTATAAGCAAAATTGCGACCGATTCAAGAATAGGTCTCCTGGGTAGAAATAGAAGCGTTTTGTTGGCACTAATTTTATTCCAGACTGAATCATTTCCATCAAAAGATTTTCATGATCTATAGTTATAGATACAGAATACTATATCTCTAGTAGTGATCGATAATTCGATTATCATGATAATTCGAGTAATCGAATCGATTATCAAGATAATTCGAACTATTCTCAAATATAGGATAGAAAATAACTTTTGTCTAATTTCTGCATCAGTTTACTTGAGAATGGTTAAATAAACCGGAACCAGTCATAACAAATAAAAATCTTGCATCGCAGGACTTAAACATTAATATATAGCGGTTCTCGGTTGCTTTTGTATCAGAATCACAACTGATTATATATTGTCATTTCCAAGTAAACCGCTGACAGTAGGTGCTTTTGTTAGCACTAGTCCTATTTCAGATTGGGCCTTTTTTTGACAAAAGTTATTCTCTGCTCGATGTTATTTGATCGAGCAGGACAGCGAGTAACATAAAACCTTCTCTCATAATTACTCAGACCCAAATATTACCTAAGTGAGTTTTTTCGATTTCGAAGTGCTTTACATTTTTTAATGAGACTAATTCATTCAGGATGCATCATAATCCATGTAGGTATAAAAATATGGTCAAAGAAATTCACTTGTTTTCTACCAAATTCACATTTCTCAAGTTATATTGTTAGTCATGCTTGTCACAATTTTTCAAAAAAGTTGAGGTCTTCGTTGTGCAACCTCATTTTGTTCGGATGTCCTCTTATTGAACATTGTCCTGTGAGTACCCCTGTAATTGTTCTGAACTGATCCCTACTTTACTGAAACAGTATTCCGTGGTCATGTGGTCCGAGAACATGTTTGATGTTTTTCCACACAATGCTAAATTTCTGTTTTGCCAAATCCCACATATCTTGGCGAGTTTTCCAATGTGAGTTGGTCCACTCTTGCCTTTCCCATCAATGCTAGATGTAGAGGAGGAAGATTCAAGAGTGTCTCCGATGCAGCTGTAGGAGTGGTTTTCATTGCTCCTGTTATTACCAATCATGCAAATCTTTGCATCCTGCTTAATTTGTTGATAGTGGTCGTTTGTTTCATCATTGGCCACCAGTTCATAGATGCATGTTATCATGGGTTCAACCACTATGGTGTAGAGCCACTATATCATGTCTGGTTCAAACCACTTTGTATTTCCGTAGGTGTGTCTGGCCAGCATCAGTACTATCTCCGCCATTCTTTCAAACCTTTTTTAGATGTTATTTCCTGCTGAACTTGGGATCTAGTACCACTCCCAGATATTTGACCCCTCTTTATGTATTCATCTCTGTACCCTCTGTTTTAGTCCTTTGGATGAATACTACTGATGTCAATTTCATTGAGCTTATGTTCGGCTTTTTCTATCGATCCATTCAGTTATACTAATCAGTGTCTGCTGCATGCATCCCTTCACTATACCATTATATTTGCCAAGGACTAGGATGACTGAGTTGTCGCCATAGCCCAGTACTTTGTTTCCATTATGGCCCAGAGGACGAACCAGTACATTCCAAAGTTTCATACGAGTGGGGACAAAAACCTCCTAAGCCAAATTCGACCCTGTCGATTTTTCAAGTTCAAGTTTTGGTAATTTTTGGAGCATTGCCGGAAGAATGCCATCTGGTTCCGGTGAATGATGAGTTTTCGATCCATTTTATTTTCTCCGAATCTACCATTTTCTTCACCACCAGCCAATCCTCCCTGGATGCTCTTTTAGGAGCCTTCAGTTTTGAAATCGTCTAGGACTTCAATGTTAGATTTGTAATTTTTGATCCGGGGGAAGTGCACTCGGAGAAGCTCTCTTATATAGTCTCTCCTCCTGATATTTTGCACACTCCCGGGGTTTGTTTCAAGATCCGGCCCAAACCTAGCGGTGTTAATTAATCTCCGTTTCAAGTACGTTCAGGGCCATCAACTGGGCGGGTTGTTAGTAAGGAATACATCGAACGACGAAAACAGCAAATAGCTATCCTTCTCCACTTCTGGACTTCCACCCGGAATTTATCAAGGAAAATAGAAAAAGATATTTTTGTGTAGACATTTTCAAATATGTATATAATAGAGACACCTAGATCAAACTATCATACTGCTAATAGTGAAAATCGAAACGAGTTGAAAGATGCAGTTTTCAACACCCTTTTGTCTATCTTACCCTGAAGTTGAGAGGGACCTGGGGGTTGTTTCATGGCAGGACATCTGATTACTCAACAAAAACACTCTGCAACTGAACAGATAACCGGAGACGGTCTAATCCTTCAGTCTGTTTCATCCGTGGGGTTGAGGTGCGTTGTAAGGAGCATGAACTTCACTCCTGCCCACCTTAAACCTGTATGATAGCTCTAGTCGGTTGACTCCTCAGACCAGGGTTTCAGGGATTTCAAAACTCGTTTCCGGTCTGGGCGCAACTGGAGCTTCAGACGGCTCGGCTAATGTCACGTCCACTAAAGGTCGTGTTGATTCAGTAAACTGGCGTCTATCTCGGTACAACTCTTTTTCGGGATGGATAGTGGCATAGCTACTTGTATTTGTTCAAACACTTCTGGGTGGCTATTAACAGAGTAATAGCACACCTGAGGTGTTTCCACCAAATAGGTAGGAACTACCCCTCTGGGGATGATTCTCGGTCTCGTTAGTTCCGGGAAAAACTCCGGAACTGGAGGTGGACAACTGATTGTGCGTTGTAGTGCACTCTTCTTGCACATTCTGGTGGGCATTGTCGTGGTTCACTGGTCACTTTGGGGCCTGACACTCCTGCTCGTGGATTTAACATGGTCTGGAGACTCATTTGGGGTTGATCAATCACGATATTCTCAATCTTAGTCGTTTTCTGACGAACTTGCGACGATTGTAGGGTGTCGATTCACCTTATGTTTTGTGCATTTCATTTCCTGAAATGGTGTAGAACAAAATTACTAATTTCCGGGCTACCCGTGACGGGTATTTCAACGCAATCTGGAGACAATCATGCTTGTCTCTCTCTACATGATAATGGTTATTGCTACCATTGAGGCGCATTAAGCCATATCATGCTTGTCTTTTGTGACGTTTCGATATCTCTACCTGAAAGCCTTCTAACAAAGTCAGCAGTGCGAGTTAGTTGTCGATGTGCTACCAATTCTGATGAGACGTTGCTTGGCCCTAGTCTGCATCTCGTTAACAGAAAGTCCTTAAAATAGATGTATTCGTTGAAAAGTAGAAAGTACCAACGATCAGATAGGGTCGCTGGTCCACTTGGAAGAAGCTAATGATGGTTTAAGTTCACTCTTATACCACCGCTGTGTTGTTACCGTTAGGTTTATAGTACAGTTTACACGGTGTACACTCTTTGCAGGGTTTGGTAACTAATTTTCAATTGGCGGAGTGCCAAAAGGAACCCGTAACACATGAAACAGAAATACGCTGACGGTTATACTATTTACTCACACACAGTCCTCTCGCTGGAGCCTCAACTGCGTCCCACGCAGTCTATAACATCTCCGGACTGCGCCTTCGAAGGACGCATTTCTCTGCGCCCAACTCCTGACAAAAACAGTTCTTGATGATAGAGCTATGACCCACGGTTGACGATTTTATTGAGCTTTCAGTATCGGAAAGTGTAGGGAGATCCTGAATTTCACATTATTCAGGCTAATTCCTTGGGATAATCTCGTCACGAGATTATACTTTATTGTTCGGGATGATGGGATCTTTCATATTGTGAAAGAAAATCATAGAATGAAATTGTAGTTTTTCTCGAAAATGCAGGAATCAAGTGTCAACCATAAGTCCCGGGACAATTTTCAGGTGGCTGCTGATTGGCCTAGGGGCAAATTGGGGAAATTCACCACAGTAGGAAGGTGATTTTTTTATAAAATGAACGGATTTTTACTATCGGTATTTATTCTTGCCTTGAAGTTAAATCTATGCTAGTTGTAATCTTGTTGGAGTTTTCTACAAGTGGAAGTGTCTATTAGTGAATTTGATTGAAAAATAGGTTGTTTTTAGAGCCTTATTGGAGAATTCGAATTCCTTATTGTGTTACTGGTTCTCTTTAGAACCGCATTTGTGTATTTTCGATTTGCCATCTGTCTTTTTGTAACAGATACTTGGCGTCATCGTCAATTATGGGTCGAAGTTTCATCATCAGGAACTGGTTGCATCAGGAATAGGACGCTGAGGAATGCTTATCGTGTAGGCGGGTCGAAGGCGGATTCTGGAGACGTGATAGACCGGGAATAGAACGCAGTTGAGGCTCTAGCGAGTGGACCCTGTGCACGTAAATGGTATAATCGGCTGCGTAATTCCATTTTGTGTGGTACCAGATTTCTTTTGGAACTCCACCAATCACAAATTAGCCACGAAACCCTGAGAAGGTGAAGCGGGTTCCCACTAAAACGCTCCCGCCCTGTACTCCGTGTTAAATACCCAACGGTGACAACACAGCGGTAGTCTAAGAATATGGGTCTAAATTCGAGGAGGTGAAACCATCATTAGATTTTTACCAGTGGACTAGCGATCCAACCTGACCGTTGGGACCTTCTACCATACTGCGGACGGTCCTCATCCTAGGGTGCGGTTCAACAGATAGGCTCAGTGATCATTTTTAATTAGCTCAGTTACACTGTAGGTTTTGGTTAGACAAGTAGAAAGTAGAACTTAAATATACAGCTTTTTGTGAATCCTTATCGACACAATCATTTTTTGGACTTTTTGTTATCGAGATGCAGGCTAGGGCCAAACAAGCACGAGCGTAACTTATAACAAATACAGCAGTCCAAAATCGACAAGTCCAATTTAACTTCCAAACTCCAATTCCCTCGGACAACTTGAGTCGTCAGAATACGACTTTGTCTAGCCATTCCCGGCTCACTTTGTAGTGTGGATGTTTTAATGAACGGAAGCAAAAAAACCGAAAACAGCTACTGATGAGAATCACAATGTTGCAGTACTAGGTCAAATAGTGTTGGAACCATATAGTTCTACCAGACAAGTAGCGATGCATTGTAACATTTCGAAATCGTCAATACAACGTATTTTGTCAAAAACAAATTCCATCCATACAAAATACATTTGGTTCAAGGACTACATCCAAAGATTTGTCTCACTGCTTCTTTTGAATTCCTTTTTGCTTCGCCTTAAATACATATCATATCCAACTTTTCTGCATTTGAAAATTGAACCAATTTTCAATTTAATGAAAAACCAACACAAAACTGAATACACTTTCGTCAAATCTGACAGGTCTTCTGACTGATCGATAAATACATTATTGCATTTATTTTGACTTATTCATGGCCCTCTTTATAATACGCAATAAAATTGCCTTTTTTCGTCAGTATTCAAAAAAAACTACAAGTGTGCTATATGGCTGAATTCAGAATTCAATGCAGAATTCAAAAACCAATTCAAAATACTGGGTTATCATTTAAAAAAGTTGGCGTCGGTGTCGCGACGCCCTAACGGATGACGCCTAGTGCTGGATCTCTACGCAATTGGAGGACTCTTTGACACCAAAATTATCTGCTTTCACGAAATATGGATATTCTTTTTCATTTTTCAGATATTTGCCCGCGGAGTTTTATATTTATTCATATATATAGGTATAGTGATGAAAATGGTGATATTTTCACGTTACATACTTCAAATCTTGAAAAAAAAACATAGGAGAAGATATATATAATTATTCAGTGCTTTCATTTTTTAATTGAATAGATATAATGAGATTAAACTTTGTTTGATACTTCCATATCTTTCTTCGTTTCAAAACTGTCAAACGCTATATTCTCGATTCCATCTACTTCTTTCTTCTCTGTAGAGACGATGTCGTTCCATGGCTGAACATCACCACTTCCAAAAATACAGAATATTATTCCACACCCAATGTAAACCGAGGATCCTATGTAAAATATAGTGTGCCACTCGTTGAGACCATTCTGAAATTAATTATCATAATCAGTGGTAGTAACAGCAATTTCGAGTCATTAAAGGATGGTTTTTCCTGTGGGTCCGTTCAGAAATAGGTACAATAATCATCATATTGCAATATCTATAGCTGTATCGACATGTTACGTGATAGGTATTTTTTAAATTAATACCTCAATTGAAAAGTCCCTAACAAAATATCAAAACTGATATTGGATTAACAAAAAAAGCTCTTCTGGCTAAATGTTCAATATGGCATTAACTGGTTAGTTAAGCGTTAGTTAAGCGCTTGGTTAAGCGTCTTCAGTTCAGACAGGTTGGAGATTAGCTCCCTTACCCTTTTAGTTGATTTTCGTCAGAAAGACAAATGGGTTCATGACTAAGGAGATGTTGGCGGTATGAAAGTTCTCAAGACATCAGTACCGCCCGTCACGGGGTACCCCTGCCTGGCTGGGGTGGAATGGACGAAAAATTTCTTCATCCGTTAACGGGGGACATGAGAGCCTCATTCAACAGAGTGTCGGAGCCTTCTACATCGGGATGGGTCGTCTACAGCATAATCTACAGCTTCCCTAACCAACGGATTATCGTGAGTTTCCGCACTATCAAAAACTCGCCGATTCCTCGACTGAATGGACTGCTGTACAGACTAGCTATCCGGCCCTCGATCTTTGATTTAACGTACATGATGTGCGGGTTCCAGGTGAGCCTACGGTCTATTAGAAGGCCGAGGTACTTAACCCGCGCTTGCCAGTCGATCTCTCTTCCAGAGATTCTCACTTTTCTGGGCGGAGAAGATAATAATCTTCTCATGGTTTTCCGGGTTCACTCGGATCTTCCATTCAAGGTACCAGCGCTCGAGGTCGTCCAATGCACGTTGCATATAGACGACGCAGAGCTCCCGACCCATGGAAGATGAGAGGAGAGCCGTGTCATCAGCGTACAGAGATATATTCACACGCTCAGACCTCGGAAGGTCACTGGTGTAAAGTGAGCACAGCATATGACCCTGGAAAATAAATAGTTGGAATATTAGTTTTGGATTTCGTCTAATATCGCATCATCAAGAACTCGATGAAGATCATCCCAAACTGCATAGTTTCATCATTTACATCATCAGCAACATTAGCGTTCCCGTTGCGACTTCTCCCTCAAAGGTTGGTTTGGTGAGTTGTCAAAATTGCATGTACTGAAGTACGGGTAGTTCCTATTTTTGAGAAAATTGTACTGTGGTCATTACCTGGAACTTCCAAGAAATTTAATTGTACCTGGCCAGTAATGCAGACATAGCTAGGCACAATGCTGAGATATTTCTCAGCATTGTTCTCAATGCTGAGAAATATCTCAGCATTGTGCCTAGCTATGTCGCAGTGTAATAACACTGCGATGCCATTTTCTTATATCAAACGATATCTATGTTTTGGCTGGCAGACTATTAATATAAACGACATCTCTTTCTAAAAAGATTTATTGAATTCAAAGTTACAATTTTTATAAGTTCAGACAACGATGCCACAGTACGAATGCTAGAAACTGCATGTCTTAATGAAATAAATGAACAGACAAGTATTCACAAGTATGGTATCCACAATCGTCTTCGGGTCATCACATGAAGATTATTGAGGATACAAACAATCGAAACGTCGTTAAGTAACTTGGCTTGTAATCTCTTAATTTTTTATTTTCTGTTTAATTGTTCTTTTTTTTACTTGTATTTTATTTCTCTCTAATTTAATTTCAGGGTTTTTTTGCTTAATATAATTGTTATTTTCAACTATTGTTTTTAATTTTTCATTTGTATTGTTTTTTTAGGGATTTCAAATCATTTCATATAATATGAGACCACGGAAGTCCGAACTAATGAAATTCATCATGAAACATTCTCAATCACCTTCAAACAAATGGTTATCATAGCTTTATTTTTTATGAAAATTCAATTTTCACAACCTCTCTATCAAAAATTTTCGATATAATAATCGAATTTTTTGTCTTGTGGATAGTCCTCAAATCCCTGCGAAAATGTAATGACAGAAACGGCATTGAAATTTTTATCGTAATATTTTTCACACTGAAAATTCAAACAACTCACATGTTTTTCTGTCAAATATCCAACAATTGCAGGGGATATGAATCCTGTTGTGCTTCCAATGCAATTTGCAATACCATATATGATACCAGCGAAATTTGGAGCCAGATCCTGAGAATTTTGTAAATTTGTCAGAGTTGAAGCTCCATTCGATCCAAGCGACAATGTTATTAATACTATTGCCCATGTTACGTCACAGCCTGTTAGTGTTTGTACAAACAATAGTACCCCAGGTAAAATATGAGCTGAAACATATGATAATAATACAATTCATTCTAAAAGGAAACACCGAAAACTCTGGAAAAAAGCAACAAAAAGATTTGTCTCACACTTCAGAACTGAGTTGGTATCATTAAGTTGTTGGTATCATTAAGAGATGATTTTATCATCTCCTGTTCGAATCTTTGATATGAAATGTATTTTTGTTGGATACTTTTTCCTTTGAAAACTATACCATTTTTCATTTATGGTTGAACTGATTTCCAACTGACTTGAATTCGCAAAGATCAATGATGAGCTAGGTTGCTTTGTTAGACCAACTTCAGAATTTTCTACCCAAGGTCAAATGTTTAAAATCTTTTGAAAGTTTCGAAAACTTTTTTCAATTCAGCTATCTGAAAATCTTAAACATGGAGGAGAATCAATACTGCCACAAGACGTGATTGTTGAAAATTAACAAAATCATTATGTTCAAAAATAAAATCGGTGTAGGTAGGCAAGTAGTATTAGACGAGATAAGAGTATCCGAACTAGAAAAGCATAAGTAGGTATGTTCGCATTTATATATCAGAATTGTCATATCTATAGTGTACGTATATACTCACAAAACAACACAAAACTTTTTCTTATCATAGTTTTATTCATCCAAGATTTCCTTATGATGAGATCACCTAATTGTCCAAATAGGAAACCAAAAATAAGTCTCGCAAAATACGGCAAGGCGGCCAAAAATCCAGTATGTCCTAGTGTGAAACCCAGAACAGATGACAGGAAATTGGGACCAGCTGTCATGAGGAAAAACAGTCCCCATAAATTGCCAAAGTGCAGGATGATGAGAGTCCAAAATGGGACAGAACAAGCCATTTTTTTGTATGGTGGTTGTCTCTGAAAATATATACCAATATAGAAAATAGATATCAGATAGATATCAAAGTAAACATTGTCACAATTCTCCTAGATTTCCCCTACTGCATTTTTCCCAGCAGCTAATATGCGTGAATTGAGTTGGATGAATAATTCTAGACAGTTTATTGATTTGAAGAACTATTTCGTTTCACTTTTTTCCATTTACTTTTGGAATCTTGAAGGGAAAAGTGATTCAAGTACCATATCATATCGAAGAGCTTTTATCTTTTTCAACTGGTACCATTAATTATTACTTTTTGACCAACAGATAGTAATTGAACCTTGCTCAAGACCCAGAAGATCAAATTGATGCAGACTATAGCGAGATTTCATCCCATTTATCAATTTATTTTCATTTCAGGTCCAAACAATTTGTTTTCTTCACGATTTATTGTGACCTGAGATGTTATTTTTAGTAAATTGATGGATGTAGCCATTACTACGTGATAGGAAATCATAATGAAGAAAAGAGAAATGAAACTTTGTATGTTTTTACCACTTTTATTTGTAACTAACGTTACTGCAGTTTCGTCCTATATGGACATTTTCAAACTTATACAGTAAGTTTATTATATAAGTTTGAAAATGTCCGTGTAGGACGAAACTGCAGTAACGTTAGTTACAAATGAAAATGGTAAGTGGTAAAAAACATAGAAAGTTTCATTTCTCTTTTCGTCGTTATTTTTAATCTTTTCAAATAACTTATCGGATTGTTTCGGTCTTAGTATTCTCTATGTTTCATTCATTTATTGTATTCTTAGATTTCAAATCTGTTAAAACTTTTCAGACAATGTCTGAAAAGTCTGAACCTTCAACAGTTACCAAGAAATGTTACCAAGAACAAATGAATCGAGGAGGTTTTGTATTAAAGTGTATAATATTTTAAAATTCTTGCAAAGCGCTTTCGACTCTCGTCATTCGTTTTTTCGAAGCGTTTTTTTTAATATATGATATAATATTGTGCTTTGCAAGAATTTTAAAATATTATACACTTTAATACAAAGCCTCTTCGATTCATTAATTCAAATAAGTGTATTCAGCTTTCCCAAATCTTTTTTTATCAAGAACATTCAAATAAGCTTGGTGTTTCACAATGAGAAAAAACAGTTATTCGTAATACTGATTTCATATATTTGCAATAAACGATTATTATTGACTTTCGTGATATTGTGAATGAATAAAATCATTATTGAAGATGGCATAAAATTTCTAATTCGAATTGAAGAATGACAAGCGTTCAGAGAAAATTTTAAGTAGAAATGTCATGACTGGCACATACTTATATAGGCCAAATGACATGTAAAACAATTGTCTATTGCGACAATTCTAAAACGAAGTGAGTGAATTTTGCATATTCTCACTTCATATTTATTACGATAAAATTATGAACAAATAAAATATATTCTTACTTTTTCTTTAGCAATATTTCCAGATAAACTATCAGTGATGTATGCCTTCTCTTCTTCTGAAATCCTTGGATGAACTTCCGGAGAATCAGCAACTAGATAGAACCACAACACAGTCCAACATATCACAAATATTCCACAGCTAAGAAATGCCCATGTCCAACCAAACGATTCTATAATGGCTCCGAGCATTGGCCAGGTAATCATAGTACCTAAAGACCCACCTAGAAGAGCTCCGATAAATTTTCCTTTTTCGTCCGGAGGTGCCCATCTCGAAACAAGAAAATGGAGACTGGGAAACACCACTCCCTGTAAAAAAATGATTAATAGTTCAAACTAGCCATCGAATTTTTAAGATTCAGTTTGGTTGTAAAATTCGTCATTCTTAACTTAGGAACGAAACAGTTTTGTGGTCTTCTATTATCTACTAGCGATCCCTCCGGCTCCGGACGGATGCAATGCTGATATTAAATATACATATAAACACGTGCCATCGCTGTTAATTATTAAGTGCTATAGAGCGAAGCGCAGCCTTCTCCACGCTATTTATAGGCACGCGCTACCGGCCTATACCGGCCGTTACCGCCGCAACCGCTATGTCACTGCATATTGATCTATATTGAATGCACAATGTATTTAAGGTACTTAATTGGATTAGAATTAATGCTATATTGCTTGAAATCGCTTCGTAAGTAAAGGATAAAACATTTTTATTGTCGTCGGTTATCCCTAAGAGATAGACATGTACCATCGCGGATTTTTTTGTAGACCTTTTTGTAGACCTTTACATTATTTTGATATATCTCGTAGGGTTCAGCCAGCGTTTGGACTGTAAGCGCAAACAATGATGACTTCACATTAGAAAGCTCCAAAATCATAAGTGTTTTTCTAGTATTTTATGCATGTTATATAGGTACATATAAACCTTTCACTTGAATCACTCCATCTATTGAAAACATTCGCATCAAAATCCGTTTCGTAGTTTAAAAGGTCTAAGCATACATAGGGACAGACAGCGGGAATCGACTTTGTTATTTACTATTAATAATATCGGAGAGGACAACGCTAGTTTTTTAGTGGGCAACCTTTCAGTCTAATCAACAAGTTCAAAAACATGAAAAATAGAGATAAAGGTCCTAAAAAGATGAGCGATAGCTCATTCGATTCGAAATCACCTCTAGAAATTTTTTTTAAGAATTTTGGTGCAGGTAACAAAATAAGAATAAAAAAAATGGTATTTAGTTTTTCTTTAATAACTCAAAAAATATTAATATTTAAGCAATTTTAAAAAAAGCTCGTTAAAGAGGAGGAAATTTCCGATAAAAAAGATCCAACTTCCGAAACTCTATCTCCATTATTTATAATTTTAATTTGACGTTGAAAATAGGGTTCCGCGCGGCTGTTACGGCACGCGCGCGCTGCCGCTAAAGAGAGTTTATCAAAAGAAATATTTTTTTTATAACAGAAAATGTCATTTTAAAAATTTGAAAAAAATCTAGTATCTTCTTAACACTTGAATGAATCGAGTCCCGTAGAGAAACAGTTTTATCACCATTTTTCAAAAAGTTATTCAATTGTTAACTTACAAATTTTTTCCCAATCTCCGTTGGCATAAATAATGGGATAAAAGGTATAAATAATTGGCCTATGAATTTTAAACTTCGTGGAGCCCTTTTGATATATATACTCTAACGATCCTGCGATAAAAGTTCATAAAAATTTATTAATTTGTTAATTATGATTTTTATAACTATTGCAAAATGAAATATCTAAAAATTGTTGATACATTTTTTTTTTCAATTGATATTTAGCAATGTCTGTTTTCACATTAAAAAATGGCAGTTATTGACATAGGATATACAATTTTTACGTAATTTGTTTATTAAATTGTTTTAAACAAATAGAGAAATTCAATATTTTTGAAAAATATGTCCTGCTATTTTGTTGTCTAGAGATAATTATGATTTTTAAAAAACCATTTTTTCTTAATTTCAATTTTTAATTGTTTAATTGTCGATTTTTTTATATTTCGATTGTTTAAATGATTAGTTGAGAAATAATTTTGCTTTTCTTTTTTCAAAATTGCTTAAATATTAATATTTTTTGAGTTATTAACGAAAAACTAAATAGCATTTTTTCAAAATCTTATTTTGTTAATAACAATTGCAATTTTTTACCTGCACCAAAATCCTTCAGTAATGTTTTTCTAGACGTGATTTCGAATCGAATGAGCATCGCTCATATTTTTAGGACCTTTATTTCTATTTTTCATGTTTTTGAACTTGTTGATTAGACCATTTCACAATCTGAAGAATAAACGTAGGCAAATCAATAGAGAATCAGCTGGAGTGTAATAATATATGTTACAAGAAATGGTTCCCAAGTGAATTATTTTGGGTTTTAAAAACAGAAAAAAATTATTTTCCGAAACGTCCTTTTTATCTGCCATATGGCAATTCCAACAACCCAATAAGGCTGGTTAAGTTATTTTTTGTTTTTAAAAACGACAAAAAATGTCAGTACGACTAGTAGAAAGGTACCACGTCAACAATCTCTAAAATGGTCAATTCTCGTCCATTGGAAGAAAAAAATTGAAGCGATTTTTATTTACGGTGTGACGCGTAACTCTCATGAGACCGGAATGATTTTCAATGAACGTTTTCCGAATCGACATATCTGTAGAAAATATTTGAGGGAACTTGTATCCAAATTCACAACTACCGGTTGTGTGCATAACAAAAAGCCTCCAGGTCATCCGTCCATTCTGGAAGAATTGGAGAGATGGCAGTAAATCCAGAACAGTCTACTTATTCCATCGCGAATGTTTGTGAGGTGTCTCCTTCTACTGCGTGGGGACTTTTGAAGAGGAATAGGTATCATCTATACAGAATTAAAATGCTACACCAATTAACTGAAGATGACCCTGATCGAAGAACAGAAATCTGCGAAATCATGACGGAAACCATTACAAGGTATCCTACCTATCTCCACAATATTTGTTTTACTGACGAATGTACATTTTTTTCAACGACAATGTTCACAGACAAAATTGCCGTTATTGGAGAGACACCAACCCTCACGTTTTCCAGGAAATACATACCCAATATCCAGAAAAAATTAACGTTTGGGCAGAAATATTGGGAAACCATATTGTAGGACCTCCATTTATTGATCAAAATTCAACAGGGGAACTGTATTTGAATAGTCAAAGTTAAAATGTGCTTTATTGTCTGAAGATTCATATCTCATTGACAAAGCTTGTTTGAAATAATTGATTAAATAAAAAAACAAACAAACAAAATTACACATATTAGCTATCGCTACTTAGTCATATGAAACTATAAACTATAACATAATTTACAATTTCAAGTAGATACTGAATATATGTATATGTAACAAAAAAGGACATAAAATGATAACAGCAACAGTTTGTATTTACTTAGCACAATATAACACTTTAGGAAAATAGCCAGTAATAATGTATTTTAAAAATTTCCAATATTGATTACATGAACTGTATTGAGAAACTACTGTTGACCCTCTCATCACTGAAATCGTCGAAGCGAATCCAAATGAATTTGATATGGATATTGTATTCCAACAAGATGGAGCACCACCAAGTAAGAAACTATTTGTATACTACTTTTCCCGGTCGTTGGATTGGCCGTCGAGGTCCTACAAAATGGCCAGTCTGCTTGCCAGATTTGACAGCTTTTGACCTTTTAAATGGGGCTATTTGAAGCAAAAGGTGTATGAAACTGATCCTGCTTCAATATTGGATATACGGCAGAGAATAATAAATATTTGTAGAGATATTGACGTTACTGTGTTTGAAAATGTTCAGCGTGAAATATCGGATAGGCTATTCATATGTCAAGAAGTTCAAGACAACCATTTCGAGCATCTTCTGAACTGACCTCAAGCTTATTACTTCATATCATGTAGTTAAATGTCATTGTATTCAGACAATTATTGAAAGTTCCGCTATTTTATAGTAGTTGAAGATTTTGGCATTATATTCTAGGGTTGGGAAGCATTTGTCAGGAGCTTCAAACAGATGTGTCACAAGACCCCCCTTTCCGTTTAATTGTTTTCCCAGATAGCGCCCAGTCGCCATCTTGAAAGTTTCTTCTGTCAATTTCACGTCAAAATAAAGTATACATGTATTAATTTCATTATTCCTAATTTCAATTTTTTGAGTTGACTTGTTCAAAAAATAAAAGAGAGGGACATTAAAGAAAAGCACTGTATGAGACCAACAGAAGACGCAATCCATGAATATCAAAGGTGAACGAGGCTTTCCGAGGCTGTCAGTAGCAAAGCCAAGCTACGATATCTACCACCAATCGAAATTATTCCTTTATCTTTCACTGACAACTAGATGAAAACAAGTCCAGAAATAAAGCAGTCGTGATCCAACTTTAGTTAGCGCTATTTCGGCCCATCATCGACCTCATCTCATCTCATAGAATACATTGCTGGAATGAAGTGGCCTTGGAGGACGTCTTTGTAAGGAAAGATGGCATCGCCTTCACCTACTTAGGTTTGTCCTATGGGTCCAGAAATCTTTTCGTGGTTCAGCCTAGCATCTACGTTGAAACCTATAGCGGGTCGAAATAGCGCTGTCTAGTGTTGGTTCCCGAATGCTTCGATTTTGGGCTCTAGTTTCATGTAGTTACCTTGCATTGAAAGCTGCAGTGGAAAACAGAGGACGAATCTCCAACAGCGTCGATGTCGAAGCTTGAACTTGCAACGGACAACCTTGGGCAGTATCGTTCATCTTTGATATTCGTGGATTGAGTCTTCTGTCTATTCCATAGATGGCGTATTCATAAGAAGAGATGTAATCAACTTATATGGACCCAGCTTCGTGGATTACGCCAAATATTTGTCAACAAATTATCAGTTTATATTCAAAACTATATTGAAAAGAATCCTATTATTGAGCCAGCTATACAGATGGCTCAATAATAGATGATAAATGTACCTGTGTTAGGAATCACACGTTAAAAGGTAAGACCTCGTTAATCCTTAGCTCGCACAAGTTTAGACTTCTGAGGGTTGTCGTTCGTAGGGGTGCGACAGCTGGTTAACAGAAAAACAGATTTTGAACAGATTTTTTTTAAACAGATTTTGCCATAATAATAACAAATAATCAGAAACCTTTAGACTATCCAATGAGGCACCGATATATGTATACTTTGGAAATCGTAGCTATTCAAAAAGCTCTTGAATATTTAACACCTCGACACTGTTATTTTAACACCTCGACACGTGTTTTGATCACAAAGTTCTCATCTTCAAGAGGA